GAAGTGGAAACATGTGGATTCATTCCCACAGAAGTTCCATGAAGCGACTTTTACAAAAGACATTCAAAAGAGAGGACCGACTGTCAAACCTTTACTTTCACTTTGAGTTTCTGAAATGTCAGAGTCAGGTTTAAGCTGGACTTTGTTTTCAAACTCACCAAGTCCAAACGTATCAACAGGTTTAATAGTGTCTACACAAACACACACACATACTCTACACAAACACACACACTCACTCTACACAAACACACACACATACTCTACACAAACACACACACATACTCTACACACACATACACACAAACACACACACATACATACTCTACACACAAACACACACACATACTCTACACAACCACACAACACACGCATACTCTACACAAACACACACATACTCTACGCAAACGCACACATACTCTACACAAACACACACACATACTCTACACAAACACACACATACTCTACACAAACACACACACATACTCTACACAAACACACACACACACAGTGTCTACACAACCACACACACACATACTCTACACAACACACACATACTCTACACAACACACACACAAACACACTCTACACAAACACACACACACAGTGTCTACACAAACACACACACACACACACTCTACACAAACACACACACACACTCTACACACACACACACACACACACACTCTACACAAACACACTCTACACAAACACACACACACTCTACACAAACACACACTACACAAACACACACACTCTACACAAACACACACACTCTACACAAACACACACACACACACACTCTACACAAACACACGCACACTCTACACAAACACACACACACTCTACACAAACACACACACAGTCTACACAAACACACACAAACACACTCTACACAAACACACACACAAACACACTCTACACAAACACACTACACAAACACACTACACAAACACACACACACACACTCTACACAAACACACACACTACACAAACACACACACTCTACACAAACACACACACTCTACACAAACACACACACACTACACAAACACACACACACACACACTCTACACAAACACACACACACTCTACACAAACACACACACACTCTACACACACACACACTCTACACAAACACACACAACACACTCTACACACACAAACACACTCTACACAAACACACTACACAAACACACACACACACACTCTCTACACAAACACACACACACACACTCTACACAAACACACACACAAACACACTCTACACAAAAACACTACACAAACACACACCCACACACTCTACACAAACACACTACACAAACACATAAACACACACACTCTACACAAACACACACACGCTACACAAACACACACACTCTACACAAACACACACACACTCTACACAAACACACACACACTCTACACAAACACACACACACACACTCTACACAAACACACACACACACACTCTACACAAACACACACACACTCTACACAAACACACACACACACTCTACACACACACACACACACTCTACACAAACAAACACACACACACACACTTTACACACACACACACACTCTACACAAACACACACACACTACACAAACACACACACACTCTACACAAACACACACACACTCTACACAAACACACACACTACACAAACACACACACACACACACTCTACACAAACACATACACTCTACACAAACACACACACACACACTCTACACAAACACGCACACACTCTACACAAACACACACACTCTACACACACACACACTCTACACAAACACACACACACACTCTACACAAACACACACACACACACTCTACACAAACACACACACACACACTCTACACAAACACACACACTCTACACAAACACACACACACACACTCTACACAAACAAACACACACTCTACACAAGCACACACACACTCTACACAAACACACACACACTCTACACAAACACACACACGCTACACAAACACACACACTCTACACAAACACACACACACTCTACACAAACACACACACTCTACACAAACACACACACACACACACACACACTCTACACAAACACACACACACTACACAAACACACACACACACACTCTACACAAACACACACACACTCTACACAAACACACACACTCTACACAAACACACACACTCTACACACACACACACACACTCTACACAAACACACACACACTCTACACACACACACACACTCTACAAAAACAAACACACACTAACACACTCTACACAAACACACACACACACTCTACAAAAACACACACACACACACTCTACACAAACACACACACACACACACACACACACTCTACACAAACACACACACACACTCTACACAAACACACACACACACACTCTACACAAACACACACACTCTACACAAACACACACACACACTCTACACAAACATGCACACACTCTACACAAACACACACACTCTACACAAACACACACACACACACTCTACACACACACACACACACACTCTACACAAACACACACACACACTCTACACAAACAAACACACACTCTACACAAACACACACACACACAATCTACACACACACACACTCTACACAAACACACTCTACACACACACACACACTCTACACAAACACACACACACACCCTACACAAACACACATACACACACACTCTACACACACACACACACACACACACTCTACACAAACACACACACACAAACACACACACACACACTCTACACAAACACACACACACACACTCTACACAAACACACACACACTCTACACAAACACACACACACTACACAAACACACACACACTCTACACAAACACACACACACACTCTACACACACACACAGAGACACACACACACAGAGACACACACACACACACACAGACACACACACACACACACAGAGACACACAGACATAGAGACACACACACAGACACTTACTGGGCAAAGGCAAACTTCCTGAAGTAAATTAGATGCAATACTTTTATTTTAAAAGACAGAATTCTTTCCATAACATCACAGACTTCACAGAGGATGGAGCTAAAAACAACCTCAGGTCTGTTTCTGACGATGAGAGAAACTTGTACCAAAGACTTCAACAAACTTATCAGAGCCTGTTTTCCTCTATCGTTGCCTTGGTAACTTCACACACTCTACTTCCTCTATCGTTGCCGTGGTAACTTCAAACACATCTACAGTCTTTGAATCAATAATCAAAACACTGGAGACACTTTATTACAAACACGTTTCCTCCAAATAGCTACAGAGAGAGTTCAGAGCAAAGTCTGCCTCCTGCAGAGAGCGCCCCCCTGTGGAGAACCTCTGAGCAGCTTCAAAGACCCGCTCTCTCACCTGCTCCACACTCTCTGACTCAGGCTCTGACTCAGGCTCAGACTCAAACTCAGGCTCAGGCTCAGGCTCAGGCTCAGACTCAGGCTCAGACTCAGACTCAGACTCAGACTCAGACTCAGACTCAGACTCAGACTCAGACTCAGGCTCAGACTCAGGCTCAGACTCAGGTTCAGACTCAGGCTCAGACTCAGGCTCAGGCTCAGGCTCAGGCTCAGGCTCAGGTTCAGACTCAGGCTCAGGCTCAGACTCAGACTCAGACTCAGACTCAGACTCAGACTCAGGCTCAGGCTCAGGCTCAGGCTCAGGCTCAGGCTCAGACTCAGACTCAGGCTCAGACTCAGACTCAGGCTCAGACTCAGACTCAGACTCAGGCTCAGGCTCAGGCTCAGACTCAGGCTCAGACTCAGACTCAGACTCAGACTCAGACTCAGACTCAGACTCAGGCTCAGACTGCCCCCGATGCGAGAGTAGAGAGGACAGAAACCATTGCAGCTCCAGAGACTCGGGAAATGTCCAAAATGTTGCTGAGAAAATGCACTTTCATGTTTTTGGAGTCAAATTTACATGAAGATGAAGAGATCCTTTGTGCGTCCCACTGTGAGGAAATGTCAGTGTTGCATCATCAGTTACAAAACACTGGGAATGAATTAAATCTAATCTCAGTCTTTGCACAAGCTGCTTTAGTTTGTTATTGTGGTGGTAATTCCCTCTGCAGCCAGGAGAGGGCGGCATAACACTGTGTCCGTGTGTCTGCTGTTTACAGTCTGCATCAGGGGTCTCCAACCTCCTCCTCCAGAGAACTGCTGTATCAGAACAAAATGATGAATGAGAGAGAAATCCACACACAGGCCTTAAAACTAAATGTTTGATATTGGACAAACAGTTTTAGTCTGTATTCCATTACTTCCATAAGATAAGATCGAGATTATTGATCTCTGATTGAGAAATGTACAGGTCACATTTGGCACAGACAGAATCAGGCAGAAGTGTGAAACGTGTTTAAGGTTAGAAATATAGTCTGTGCAGGATATAAATATGTACGATAAAAATGTGGCAATAAAAGTAGAGTGGCAATAGCAGTGCAGGTTTTATTTTCTTTCAGTCCTAGTGCATTAGTGACTCATTGTACAGTCTGACAGCGGTGGCGTAAGGGCCCTGCTCCTTCTTCCACATGTGTCTTAATTCAGATTTGAGCCATGTCTGATTTCAATGTGCGGGTTTTTTCTGCAGTCTCTCCTCACACACACACACACACACACACACACACACACACACACACACACACACACACACACACACACACACACACACACAAAACAGGGCATTGCTATAGCTGTATAATGTCAATTCTAAATCCTTTGGGAGCTACAGGGAGAGCTAATGCTACTGGTGTCTCCCGAGCTGCAGGAGGCTAATGTGTGTCTTAAATGAACGTCCAAACGTCGTTTGTTTGAGTGTTGCTTCTTCATGCCTCTCATCGTCTGCTTCACTCACTCTCCTTAAACTATTGAATAAAAAGTCCTTTTCCAAAACATTTAAAATCGGCTGAATTTGAATTAAAGCTGAGCCTGCGTTTTAGGGCTCGAGTCTGAGGACGGCATGTCGACTCTGGGAGGCCGCCGCGGGATGAGGCCTAAAATGATGATGCCGTTTGATGCCCAGCCGCCTCAGCGTAAGTGTGTGTGGGAGGGAGGGGGAGAGAGGGGGAGGGAGGGGGAGACCAGGGCAGCTCCTGTGCAGAGGGTGAGGAGTGGGACGAGGGTCTTATACGAGAGGAAAGTGTCATCTGTGGACATCCCATGCTTGTGCATCTCCTCTCTTCCTCTCTCTCTCTCCTCCCTCTCCTCTGTCTCCCCCCTCCCTCTCCTCTCTTTCCCCTCTCTCCTCTCTCTCTCCCCTCCCTCTCCTCTCTCTCTCTCATCCCTCTCTCTCTCTCTCCTCCCTCTCCTCTGTCTCCCCCCTCCCTCTCCTCTCTTTCCCCTCTCTCCTCTCTCTCTCCCCTCTCTCTCCTCTCTCTCTCGCCTCCCTCTTCTCTCTCTCTCTCTCCTCCCTCTCGTATGTCTCCCCTCTCTCTCCTCTCTCCCCTCTCTCTTCTCCCTCTCCTCTCTCTTTCCCCTCTCTCTCCTTCTCTCCCCTCTCTCTCCTCTCTCTTCTCCCTCTCCTCTCTCTCCCCTCTCTCTCTCTCGCCTCCCTCTTCTCTCTCTCTCTCTCCTCCCTCTCGTCTGTCTCCCCCTCCCTCTCCTCTCTCTCCCCTCTCTCTCTCCTCTCTCTCCCTCTCTCTCCTCTCTCTACTCTCTCTCCCTCTCTCTCTCTCTCTCTCTTCTCTCTCTCCCTCTCCCTCTCTCCCCCTCCCTCTCCTCTCTCTCCCCTCTCTCTCCTCTCTCTCTCTCTCTCTCCCTCTCTCTCTCCTCTCTCTCTCCCCTCTCTCCTCTCTCTCCTCTCTCCCCTCTCTCTTCTCTCTCTCCTCCCTCTCCTCTCTCTCTCCTCTCTCTCCTCTCTCTCCCCTCTCTCCTCTCTCTCTCTCTCTCTCTCTCTCTCCTCTCTCTCCTCTCTCTCCCCTCTCTCTTCTCTCTCTCCTCCCTCTCCTCTCTCTCTCCTCTCTCTCTCTCTCTCTCCCCTATCTCCCCTCTCTTCTCTCTCTCTCCTCTCTCTCCTCTCTCTACTCTCTCTCCCCTCTCTCTTCTCTCTCTCCTCCCTCTCCTCTCTCTCTCCCCTCTCTCTTCTCTCTCTCCTCCCTCTCCTCTCTCTCTCTCCTCTCTCTCCCCTCTCCTCCCTCTCTCTCTCTCCTCTCTCTCCCCTCTCTCCTCCCTCTCCTCTCTCTCTCATTGCGTGTCATTGTGTGTCATTGTGTGTCATTGTGTGTCATTGCTTCATGTGTCGTACGCAGCGGTCATCTCAGCTCACCCCATCCACTCCCTGGACTCGCTCCAGCCTCAGCACTACCACAGCCTGGCCTCGCCCACGCGCACCTACCTGTACCACCCCCAGGCCAGTGGAGGGCGCTACCAACACTGTGCCTCCCCCATCGCTCACCTGTCCCGGGGCGAGTCTATAGGTGAGGCCTTCCATCTCACTCACTGTTTAAAGCCGGATTTGGATACAAAAAGATTTCCCAAGTTTTAAACATCTCAAGGAGCACTGTGCACGCAATTATGTTGAAATGGAAGGAGTATCAGACCACTGCAAATCTACCAAGACCCGGCCATCCCTCCAAACTTTCATCTCAAACAAGGAGAAGACTGATCAGAGATGCAGCCAAGAGGCCCATGATCGCTCTGGATGAACTGCAGATAACTACAGCTGAGGTGGGAGAGTCTGTCCATAGGACAACAATCAGTCGTGCACTGCACAAATCTGGCCTTTATGGAAGAGTGGCAAGAAGAAAGCCATTTCTCAAAGATATCCATAAAAAGTCTCTTAAAGTTTGCCACAAGCCACCTGGGAGACACACCAAACATGTGGAAGAAGGTGCTCTGGTCAGATGAAACCAAAATCAAACTTTTTGGCCACAATGCAAAACGATATGTTTGGCGTAAAAGCAACACAGCTCATCACCCTGAACACACCATCCCTAACTCAGCTGTAGTTATCTGCAGTTCATCCAGAGTGATCATGGGCCTCTTGTCTGCATCTCTGATCAGTCTTCTCCTTGTTTGAGATTAAAGTTTGGAGGGACGGCCGGGTCTTGGTAGATTTGCAGTGGTCTGATACTCCTTCCATTTCAATATAATTGCTTGCACAGTGCTCCTTGAGATGTTTAAAGCTTGGGAAATCTTTTTGTATCCAAATCCGGCTTTAAACTTCTCCACAACAGTATCTCGGACCTGCCTGGTGTGTTCCTTTGTCTTCATGGTTCTCTCTGCGCTTTAAACAGAACCCTGAGACTATCAAAGAGCAAGTGCATTTATACGGAGACTTGATTACACACAGGTGCATTCTATTTATCATCATCAGTCATTTAGGACAACATTGGACCATTCAAAGATCCTCACTGAACTTCTGGACTGAGTTTGCTGCACTGAAAGTAAAGGGGCCGAATAATATTGCACGCCCCACTTTTCAGTTTTTTATTTGTTAAAAAAGTTTAAATTATCCAATAACTTTCGTTCCACTTCATGATTGTTTTTTATTTTTTTTTGTTTTTTTTTTTCGAACCATGCACAATACACATTTTTACATATATCAATATAGCAGACAGATAACCCGTACCTGGTTCGAAAAGGAGTTGGATGAAGCAAATGCTTATTGGGTTTCAACCCCATCAGACAAAGTGTTTAACAATATCATGCAGTAGAATTCTTGAAAATACGACAATACATTACAACAGTAGTAATCTTTATTTATATACCGTCTTTTCACTGCACATTGGAGTCTCAAAGCGGTTTACAATTGTTAATTTTGGGAGCGGGGCCAGTACAGGAGGCACATGCCAGAAATATTGTACATATTTTTAGTTGTAGGGGAAACCGGAGCACCCGGAGGAAACCTACGCAGACACGGGGAGAACATGCAAACTCCACTCAGAAAGGCCCTGGTCCAACCGGGATTCGAACCCAGGACCTTCTTGCTGAGAGGCGAGAGTGCTATCCACTCAGCCACCGTGCCGAGTGGATTATACAATACAGTTATACAATACTACCACCGATGGTATAAGACAGACAACACTAAACACACACACACACACACACACAGGCCCAAACACACTCCGACCCTACACCTCTCACCCACTACTTGCTCTGTGCTCAAGGCATCACTCTCTTACTTCCACATATTTGTTCAATAAATCTTTTTTAAACATTCTTTTAAATGTGATCAGGTTTGAGCAGGTCTTTAATTCATCTGATAAATCATTCCAAACAGCTGCTCCTCGCACTGAGATACACATTGATTTTAAAGTAGTCCTACATTTAGGCACATACACTTTTTTACTGCCTCTAAGTCTATAATTATTGTGTCCCACTTGTTGTTGATTCTTGACAAAAAAATAAAATTTTATATCTTTATGTTTGAAGCCTGAAATGTGGTGAAATGTTGAAAGGTTCAAGGGGGCCGAATACTTTCGCAAGGCACTGTATAGTGCCACATGGTTCTCGTCTCCCTTCCTTCCTTAGTGTGGTGGCATCTATAGTGCCACATGGTTCTCGTCTCCCTTCCTTAGTGTGGTGGCATCTATAGTGCCACATGGTTCTCGTCTCCCTTCCTTCCTTAGTGTGGTGGCATCTATAGTGCCACATGGTTCTCGTCTCTCTTCCTTCCTTAGTGTCGTGGCATCTATAGTGCCACATGGTTCTCGTCTCTCTTCCTTCCTTAGTGTGGTGGCATCTATAGTGCCACATGGTTCTCGTCTCCCTTCCCCCCTCCTTCTTGCACACCTGGTTCCATAGTAGTGTTGTGGCATCTATAACGTGACCCTCTTGTCTCCCTCAGAGTCGGTGAGGAACACGCCGTGCTCGGACGCCCCTCCCCCGGCCTCCTCGCAGCTCTCCTCGCAGCTCTCCTCGCAGCTCTCCTCGCAGCTCTCCTCGCAGCTCTCCTCGCAGCTCTCCTGTCCCTCGGAGATCACGGTGGACCCGGAGGGGAGCTACCACGGCAGCACCACGGAGGAGGAGGGCAGCTATAGCGGCAGCCTGGCCCCTCTGCGCCCGGTGCACGCACACGCACACCCGCTGAAGAGCTTCGCAGTCCCCGCCATCCCCCCGGGAGCCCACCCCTCCTACGAGAACCCCGCCCTGCCCTGCACGCCCCTGCTCACACAGAGCGGTACGAGACCGAGACAGAGACCGAGACTTAGACTCACTGGGGTCTCATGAAGAAGGAGACTAGGGGAAGATAGACACATGTAAAGTTATGGTCCTGAGTTAGCCCACAATAGATCCAGGACTGAGACTGTAGACCCAGGACTGAGGCTGTAGACCCAGGACTGAGGCTGTAGACCCAGGACTGAGGCTGTAGACCCAGGACTGAGGCTGTAGACCCAGGACTGAGGCTGTAGACCCAGGACTGAGGCTGTAGACCCAGGACTGAGGCTGTAGACCCAGGACTGAGGCTGTAGACCCAGGACTGAGGCTGTAGACCCAGGACACACACTTAAAAACGTGACTTAAAATGACTTTAATGAAAGTGCACCTTTTCGTTTACACTTCTCCTGACGGCCTCCCCCTGCCCCCCCAGGCGCTCCCAGCCACCCCCACGTGGTGAAGACGGCCTCCATCGGGACCCTGGGCCGGACGCGGACCCCGATGATCGTGACGGTGCCCAACGCCCCGGACGTCCCGGAGACCAGCCGGATGTTGGAGGACGTGGACAGTGTGAGTCTCGGACACGTCTTCCTGAACATCGACGTGCTCCTCTGACCTCACGCTCACAGGAACCGTCCGGACGCCGCCGTTAACTCTGTCTCTCTGTTTCTCCTCTTTTCCGTCTGCTTCTGTCGCTTCTGTCGGCGCATGTTTGTCTTTTAATCAATAACTTTTCAAAAACACCTGGAATGATTTTGTTGCTTTTTTGTTTCGTTTATTTGGAATGCTTTTCTGGATGTTTTTCCGGCTGCTTTTTTCTTTTGGCTTCAGTTTCTTTGACCCATTCTCATTTCATTCATACAGTAAGGGGCTGTTCCTGCTGCAAAGACGTGGACTTTCAATGGGAAGCGTTTTATTTCTAGGGTGACAAGGGCAGTGCTAGCAAACGAGCTAAATGTATGAGCTAGAATGAGGTTATAAAACACATAAGTCGGGACTAAGTCGGGGCCAAGTCGGGGCCAAGTCGGGGCCAAGTCGGGGCCAAGTCGGGGCCAAGTCGGGGCCAAGTCGGGGCTAAGTCGGGGCTAAGTCGGGGCTAAGTCGGGGCTAAGTCGGGGCTAAGTCGGGACTAAGTCGGGGCCACTGTCTGACCATGTGATCATAATTCTGGACCATGTAAGTCGGGGGCTAAGTCGGGGCTAAGTCGGGACTAAGTCGGGGCCACTGTCTGACCATGTGATCATAATTCTGGACCATGTAAGTCGGGGGCTCAGTCGGGGGCTCAGTCGGGGGCTAAGTCGGGGCCACTGTCTGACCATGTGATCATAATTCTGGACCATGTAAGTCGGGGGCTAAGTCGGGACTAAGTCGGGGCCACTGTCTGACCATGTGATCATAATTTTGGACCATGTAAGTCGGGGGCTCAGTCGGGGGCTCAGTCGGGGGCTCAGTCGGGGGCTCAGTCGGGGGCTCAGTCGGGGGCTAAGTCGGGGGCTAAGTCGGGGGCTAAGTCGGGGGCTAAGTCGGGGGCTAAGTCGGGGCCACTGTCTGACCATGTGATCATAATTCTGGACCATGTAAGTCGGGGGCTCAATCGGGGGCTAAGTCGGGGGCTAAGTCGGGGGCTAAGTCGGGGCCACTGTCTGACCATGTGATCATAATTCTGGACCATGTATAAAATAGGTCTTAAACCTGGCCTGGTCTGGTCTCCAAAGCTCAGCAGGTCTTTAGTTCGGAAGCTGTAAAGTGCAAGGGAAATGTCAGTGTTGTATTACCAGTTAAAGAACAGAAGAATGAGGTTAATATAAAGTATAGAACAACTCTATACTTCTCTATATTTTTTGGTTAATAAAAAAGCAAGACCCGGTCCAGAACCAGATGTTTTTTATTGCCATCGTAGGTTACAGGAACAGGAGGTCACAGGAGGTCACAGGAGGTCACAGGAGGTCACAGGAGGTCACAGGAGGTCACAGGAGGTCACAGGAGGTCACAGGAGGTCACAGGAGGTCACAGGAAGTCACAAACTAGGAATCTCTTTGGCTCCAGGTGCAGAGAAGTCGTTAGAGTAAAAAGGTAAAGGCAGCATAAAGAGGCGTCGATAAACCAGATTATTAACGCCATAATCCAGCCTCAGGTCTACCCCAGACTTACCCCAGGTCCAGGTATCACAGGTACAGGACATCAGCTGCAGTCTTTGCCTCAGCATCAGCCCCTCCCCCTGCCCTCCTAACCTGACTGACCTGGGCTTGCTCTCCCCCCTCTCCCCCTCTCCCCCCTCTTCCCCCCTGGCTCTCCTGCAGGTCCTGGCCTCCCTGACGCCCTCCTCCGCCTCGCGCAGTAACGCCCCCCCTCCTGTGCCTCTCCCGCAGAGCTACGAACCCGACGAGCTGACGGAGGAGATGGCCCACCTGGAGGGCCTGGAGAGCTGAAAGACCTGAACGCAATCACCACCGCGCCCTAGGGACCCCGCCCCACCCCACCCCAACTCAGCACCCTAAGGACCCCACCCCGCCCTCGCCACAGCACCCTAAGGACCCCACCCCGCCCTCGCCACAGCACCCTAGGGACACAACTGATTGTTCCGGCTGTTTTACACTTTCACCAGATTAGAAACACAAGATCTGCTACTAGCTTCTCAACCTGCACTGGTCCTGTCTCCCCTGGTCCTGTCTCCCCTGGTCCTGGGTCCCCTGGTCTCTTCCCTGATCCTGGGTTCCCTGGTCCTGGGTTCCTTGGTCTCTACCCTTGTCCTAGCTCCACTGGTCCTGGTCTCTCCCCTGGTCCTGTCTCGCCTGGTCTCTCCCCTGGTCTCTCACCTGGTCTCTCCCCTGGTCTCTCCCCTGGTCTCTCCCCTGGTCTATACCATTCAATCCAAACGGGGGGAAAACAAAAAGATGCAACTGTGATTTCCGTGGACACAAAATGGCGTCTTGTGCCCGAGAAGCATTCACGTCCCCCAGCAACAAACTGCTTTCTTCTTCTACAAGTACCTTTTCTCAGGACGGACGCAGCCAATCAGAGGAAGGGCAGTCACGGCCAGACACCGGAGCACGCCGTCCATGTGGATGGAACTCTTTGGGACCAGATTGTGAACTTTGTTGTTTTTAGGACGGACACAGAATGACTCCTCTGCTCTGAGCGTGTTCATGGTTCTGTTCATGGTTCTGTTCATGGTTCTGTTCATGGTTCTGTTCATGGTTCTGTTCACCTGTATGTATTCTGTATTCTTTTATTTTTTACACCTGTATCCGTATCTACATGTACATATGTTATTTTTATTCTGTCGTTTGATGGTTCAGAAGTTTACTCAAATTGTAACACAAAAATGCTGGTGCGAGGCCACGCGGAAAAGTCACTGATGTCATATGTTCATAACCCTTTAGCATTAGGCAAGGTTATTGGTATAGCACAGTCCACACACGGCAACTCACAAGACAAGGCTTTAAATCAGAAAGTCAGGATTAAATCTGTTTTTAACCTGGATTTGAATATTGCCCGTCTCACGTTTTCTGGAAGACTGTTTTTAGCTGCATAAATCTGAAACACTGCCTCCCCATGTTTAGTCCTGACTCTGGGACCAGCAGGAGACCAGTCCCTGTGCTCCTCAGAGTCCCAGCAGGAGACCAGTCCCTGTGCTCCTCAGAGTCCCAGCAGGAGGCCAGTCCCTGTGCTCCTCAGAGTCCCAGCAGGAGGCCAGTCCCTGTGCTCCTCAGAGTCCCAGCAGGAGGCCAGTCCCTATGCTCCTCAGAGTCCCAGCAGGAGGCCAGTCCCTGTGCTCCTCAGAGTCCCAGCAGGAGGCCAGTCCCTGCGCTCCTCAGAGTCCCAGCAGGAGGCCAGTCCCTGTGCTCCTCAGAGTCCCAGCAGGAGGCCAGTCCCTGTGCTCCTCAGAGTCTTAGCAGGAGGCCAGTCCCTGTGCTCCTCAGTCCCAGCAGGAGGCCAGTCCCTGTGCTCCTCAATCTTAGCAGGAGGCCAGTCCCTGTGCTCCTCAGAGTTCCACTTGGTTCTTATAGCACTAACATTTGGTGCGAGACTTAAAGCTGTGGTCTCTATTTTCAAAGCTCATGTAAAAATCTAATTCTTATTTCTGTCTGAGCCCAAAGGGTCAAATAGTGACTCACAGGGACTGTTGGATCACGTCAGCACAATGACCTGGGGAGATGACGTCGGATTTATCCACAATAAACACATTTCTCACACTTTTTCTATCGCGACAAACAACATTTCAGTCTCGAAACAAAACTTTAGGTTCAGCAGCTTTAAGTTTCTAATAAATAATGTTTAACTGTTTTTCATCACAACAATTCTATTCTATGTTTTTAGCCTCGTCAAAGGACTTTACCAAGTTGTCGATTCGTCGACACGGATCAGAAAATCAAACAGACACAGTGGTCTCTCTCTGGTCTCACTTTGGTCTCTCTCTGGTCTCTCTCTGGTCTCTCTCTGGTCTCTCTCTGGTCTCTCTCTGGTCTCTCTCTGGTCTCTCTCTGGTGTCTCTCTGGTCTCACTCTGGTCCCTCTCTCTCTCTGGTCTGTCTCTGGTCTCTCTGGTCTCTCTCTGGTCTCTCTCTGGTCTCTCTCTGGTCTCTCTCTGGTCTCTCTCTGGTCTCTCTCTGGTCTCTCTCTGGTCTCTCTCTGGTCTCTCTCTGGTCTCTCTCTGGTGTCTCTCTGGTCTCACTTTGGTCTCTCTGGTCTCTCTGGTCTCTCTCTCTCTCTCTCTCTCTCTGGTCTCTCTCTGGTCTCTCTCTGGTCTCTCTCTCGGTCTCTCTCTGGTCTCTCTCTCTGGTCTCTCTCTGGTCTCTCTCTGGTCTCTCTGGTCTCTCTCTGGTCTCTCTTGGTCTCTCTCTGGTGTCTCTCTGGTCTCTCTCTCTGGTCTCTCTCTGGTCTCTCTCTGGTCTCTCTGGTCTCTCTCTGGTCTCTCTGGTCTCTCTCTGGTCTCTCTCTGGTCTCTGGTCTCTCTGGTCTCTCTCTGGTCTCTCTCTCTGGTCTCTCTCTGGTCTCTCTCTGGTCTAAACAGTGAAAATAGTAATTCTCACCTAAACAACATCTTAACATCAAAAACATCAAATATCAGATTTAGTTTCAAATGAGTTCAGTTCGAATCTCATTTAATATTTCAGTTTTTATTTTGTATAAATTGTATGAAATAAACTTTTAGCACAGGTACAAAAGCACTGAGCCGTGTTATACTTTTACTTTCACTTTCAAAGGCTCATAATCTCACCTTTTCCCGCGTGGCCCGGTTCAAACCTCTGCATTGCTGTATATTTTTATATGCTGTTTTTTGACGACTGAATGGAAGGTTCTCACCGTTTCCATGGTTACCACTTTGAATATACGTCATTTTAAAACAAAGTCTCCTCCTCCCTCTCTACGATGCAGATTAAAGGGAAATGTCTGGGAGTTTTTGATATATATTTTGACTCCATTTTCTGGCTGATAACCAGGAAAGCCTTGTTCTCATGTTGGGTTTGTGCGACAGGATCCTTGGGTTGTGTTCTTCTTCTAGGATTGTGTTTCTTTCTAAAGATCATTATTGACGGTTCTCTGTACGGCTGCGCTGTTACGAATGTGTCCACAAAGTCCGTATTCTCACTTGGCATAAAGTCATTTTTTTAATAATATTGGGTTGTTTTTGTGGTTTGTGCTGATTGACAAGGGGGCGGGGTCTAGCTATGATGTCACAGATCGGAGAGATTCGACCCGGAGCGTTCTGTGAGGGCCAGAGCAGAACATAGAGTGAAAAGTGATGAGAAAATAGTCTAAAAATGCTGAAATTAGGCAAAACATGTGTCTTAATTTGGGATTAGATCGATTTAAGAGTTTTAAGACTTTTTCAAGTGTATCTGTCTGCGGCCTGCAGTACGGAGGCGTGTCGAGTAGTAGGCGTGTCGGGTAGTGACGTCACTACTCGACACGCCCACTCCGCGTGTATGAGCATGGATCTATTATAATACGGGTATGAGTAGTAGTGAGTACTATCTATGCCCAATGAATTTATGCGCAATAATGAATTTTATGGCGCATGTCATTGTCAATATTATTTATAAAATGGACGAATTTTGTAAATATCAAAGTAGTAAATTTGCCTACAAAAGCTGCCATTACTTCAGACTATCAATCAATAGGGATTTGAAGCAGCTCAGGACAAAAGTTAATGAGTCAAATAATGCCAGTGCTTATGTCTAATGTGTACATTCATTTATAAAAGGGGCCTATGGTTGGTGGCTCAAATCCTGGCTGCCCCAAGTGCAGTCTGGTATGTTCTTGAGCAATGCACTTCACCCACATGTGTGGACATAGTGAGAGACTGCTTGGTGGTGGCCAATAGCACAGATTAGTAGCCTGGCATCCTCCAACCCAGCTGTGACACACTGTGTGGAATAAATGAATAAAGACTAGTGTGGCGTTTTGAGAAACTTGTCAACACAGGATTGAAAAGTGCATTACAAGTTAAAGATATTATTACACCACCACCACCACCACACACTCCTACACCCATGGTCTCCACATTACTGATCATAAAGAGAACATGCCATAACATTTTTGTGCCCAACTTTGGCCTTTTGGGACAAGCAGACATTCATTACTATTGTGTTTTGTCAAATTTGTATGTAGAAGAGGGAGATTAAACAAAAAGAACAAATTGTTTTCTGGCATTTTATGTACATGCTTTTTTATGAATTTGTGTTATCTGAATGGCTCTGAAATGTAGACACTGAATAAGTTCAACACAAAACAAATATTGCAACAAATTCTCTTTTATTATAATCGTGAGAGAAAGGCTTCAGAGGAGAGCGCCAATCTCCATCTCTCTTGGAAAGCTTTCAGCCTCCCTGCTGCCTCCTCTGGTAAATGCCTCACCAGATCATTTGCAAACATTTTAAACTCACTGTCCATAAAGAACAATCACAGATTAGATTGTGCAGTGCACAGTGAAATATGTCCATCAATATTTAAATAATCTTACCATGGTTCATACTTTGGCCCCTTTATGAATTTTTCAATTGCCTCTTGCTGAGGCAGGTGAAATGCCTCGGCCAGAGTGTGAACTGTCACCTAGATAAGACTAAAATGTGTTACATTCAACAACAACAGTTTACAAAACCAAATGCAGCCCTAAAAGGTGTTGTGTCCTGTTTAATATATTGTCAGTGACTTGCACTTATGACTTTATGGTCTCTGTACATCAACAATGTTGCAATGCAGAGTTTTTAGTACAGTGTACGTCCAGGAAACATGTACCATGACATGTTTATGTTTGAGGGGGGTTCAGTGTTTTATGCACACTTTCATTACAATAGTCCCTGTGCCAGCCTGGTGGCGCTCGGGCCTACTAATGTAAAACAAACATTATATAAATCATGCTATACTTCCGGTAAGAGCGTGTAGACCAATCAGAAAGGAAGGGGGAGGGAGCTTGGGTTGTTTTT